TAACTTTCGTTTGAACTTTGGCCTTAGGAACTATTTCAAAAATTAAGAAATGAGAAATCTAAGTTATCTAACACATAAATGAAAAAAAAAAGGAGAATAACCAATCAGCCCATATCAGAATTTTATAGCCCCATAGTACAGGGGGATTGCATCCTGGCCGTGAATTGATGCCAAATTCACGGGTAGGATGTGGTTTATAGGGGGTAGAGGGCTAGTAGTAGGGGGGGCTGAAATTCAGAATTTTGCATCGGGTGTTTCTGTACTTCTCCGAAAAAAAATACTTAATAAAATTGAAATAAGAATGATGGAATAACAAATTGAAAGAAAATTAGGAATTTTATTTCATTTAAATTTGAATGATACAAATTACAAATACAATGATTGGATGATTGGATACTTGGATGAATGAAATATGAAAATGGAATAAATTAATAAAATATAAAAAATACAATATAGTTACAAATTGAAAATACAAAATTACATTGTTAAAAAATTAAAAAAAAATATATCAAATAAATTAAAAAAATTACAATAATTTGAAAAAATAAAAAATTCTATGCAACTAGTCAACTTCATGAATCATGACTTTCATCATCTGCTTCAGGTGAAATATCCGGTATAGTATCATGCTCTCCTTTGTCTTGTAATCTATCTTCTGCATCTAGCCAATCCTTGAAGCAGATGCACGTCTCTATGCTTTCATCATTCATGTAGCTTCTCTTGTTGTCCAGCACCCTGGTACCTAGACTAAAACAAGACTCCGATGGAACTGTAGACACCGGAGGGGTTAGTAGATCATGTGCCATGGCGGCGAAAACTGGATAATTTTTCGAATGTTCACTCCACTAGGTTAAAATATCAAAAGTATTTGATCCTTCACCTAAATTAGAAAAATTTGCTTGTAAATAAAAATTAAGTTCAGTAAATGAACTTGTTGTAGAAGTAGCAGATTTATGCCTTCTACTTATTAAATAAAAAAGTTTTTCTCTTCTACTACTAGGCTCAAAGTTAGAAGTAGAAGATGTTGTACAAGTTCATATTTTATTTTCTATATCAATGTTCATATTTTCACAATATGATTCAAGTAAAATATCTAAACCATCTTTCCTAATCCTAGGGTCTAATATTGTAGCTAAACAATAAAGAGGAGAAATGTTCTCCCAATATTTTTTAAATTTGTTTTTCATTATTTCAACAATACATTGAAATTGTGGATTATTTCTATATTTTGCAAAACAATCACTAATTACCATTAATTGATAAGGTAAATTACAACTAGTTGGGTAATAAATTTCTAATAATTCATTAGATGCATCATAAAAATGTTTTAAAAAATCTCTTATACAGACTGTCATTTCCCAGCCTTCCTCAAATATCATATCATTAGGCATTTTTGAATTATAAAAATCAGTAAGAATTTGTTTATGAGAAATAAACTTTCTAACATAGCATAGGTAGAATTCCACCTATGTTTCACATCTGATATAAAATGTTTATATTTTAAACCATAATTTTGACATAAATATTTAAATTCTTGTTTTCTTGCCCTTGAACTTCTAATATATATAATACAATTTCTAATTTTAAAAATATGAGTAGAAATAATATTCAAGGCATCTTGAATACATAAATTTAATATGTGACATGCACATCTGATATGAAATAATTTACTATTTAAACATGGTCTTAATTTAGATTTTAAAATATTTATTGCAAAATCATTATTGCTGGCATTATCAAAACTTATAGAAAATAATTTATTTTCTATTCCATAAGCATGCAAATTATTTAAAATACTTGCAGCAATAGTTGGGCCAGTATGTGGCCATTCAAGCCTACTAATATTTAAAATTGTTTTATTTAAAAGCCAATTTTCATCAATGAAATGGCCGGTAACACAAATATAACTTATATTAAATTTAGATATCCAAACATCAGAAGTAATTGCAATTTTAGAATTAAGATTTGATAAAAAAGAAATTAAATTTTGTTTATATGAATAAAAAATTTTTAAAGCATCTGATCTAATAGTATTCCTAGAAACTTTTTTCATATTGTGGGTTTACAAAATTAAACAACCATTTTTCAAGCTTTGAATCTTCAGCTAATACAAATGGTTGTTTTGCATGTACAATACACTTAGCTAATTTTTGTCTCATTTTTTCTTGTGAATATTTAAATGTACCAAAACTACTCCCCCTCCCAATTTGTGTTTGAGTTGCTTCTCTCCCTTCATCTTCTTCCTTCTCATGTGTGAACAAATGCCTGTTCAAATGACCCGTACCACCCTTGATACAATAACTAAAATTTTTCCTGCATTTTTGGCAAACTGCCCTTTTTCCCTTCCCCTCAATATCATCTACTTTGAAAATTTTCCAAACAGGGCTACTCAACTTAGAGGCCCTCCTTTTTCCTCTAGTATTAGTATCGGGGGTGAAAGTTCCACTTCTATATATCAATCGCATCAGTGCTAACACTATCATGATGCGATTGAATATCACCAATGGTGAACATGTTGGGGAATCAGTTTTCAGAAAAATCGGCCATTTTTTTAATTCTAAAAAGATAAAAATTAATCTAATTCAACTTACCCGGATTGTTGGTTCAAAATCCCAACTTAATCTCAACGGTTGAAGCAATGAAGCCTTTCGACGTCCAAACCTCCCAAATTGAGATACTTGAGTTGGTTGAGCAAGCCTCTTCTTGTTGAAAGTTGAAACTTCAATAAAGTTGAGACTTGAGAATTGGAGAAAAGAGAATCAGACAATCAGGCAATCAGAATTGCTCAGATTGTAGAGAATTGAGAATGTATGAGTATGAGAGAGAGAGAGAGAAGAGATTGAGACAATTGTTGAATTGGTGTGATGAGATTGGTGGAGGATAGGGCTATTTATAGGAATTGAACATAATTCAATTGCCCAAATACCCTAAAAACTAGATGTTATTTAGTTGTTGGGAGGGGTATTTTGGTCATTGTAAAGTTATTTATAACTTTACACAAAAGCCCCCCAAACTAGTTGTTATATAGCTGTTGGAGGGCATTTATGTCATTTCCCCCCCCCAAGCAAAATACATAAATACCCCCTGCCGCCCCGTGGACCTCGAACCCCTGGCCTAGCACGGCATAGACCATTGTGTTGGGCCTAGCACGGCCCGTAGGTTGTCGTGTTGTGCTATGCCGCAAGCAGCCCGGCCTGATTTACACCTCTACATGTTGCACCACCTCATGTGTAGGTTTGTTCAGGTTTCTATTTATATATACAAACTTTATTTAACTAAAATTGTTTTCCAAGTTCTGAATTTCAAAAAGAAGAGTCCAAGATTGCTAAGGAACAGAAATCCCAGGCTAGGGGTGGCAATTTCTCACCTAACCCATTGGACACACCCAACCAGACCATTTATTTGGTGGGTTGGAAATGGGTTGATCACCCATTGGATCAATTTAAATGGGTTGGGTCAGGTTGGGTTGTGGATAACCAAAGTATTAATTCCTTAGCCCTTTTTTTTAATTTTATTTATTTGAGTGAAATAATTTATAATTAATGCATTATTTTTTTGTTAATTATTGACTAAAATTAGTTTTGCCTTGAATCAACACACTTCACCCAAATCAAATCGACCCGAGTTCAAGCTAGTTCAACTCGGTCTAAATATGAATAGATCTGATCACCTCGGTTCAGTTCATTTGAGTTGGTCAGCCCAATCCGAACCCAACCCAATCCAGATCAGGCCGATCTTGGTCGACCTGAATCTAAAACGGGTTGGTTCGGACTAGACCTGAATCCTAGCCACTTGTTTTGGTTCAATGTGAGTCGCCCAACCCGACCCGCATTGTACATGTGAACCAAATTTGGACCGGCCCAATTTACTTCCCTTAACCCGCTTCAAACCAATTGGTTTGGTCCCAAACCCATGCACAACTTGATATGAGCCGATCCCAGTCAATTTATCATTGATAGAACCGGTTCGATCGGACTAATCCGAATCCAAACAGTTCAACCACTCTTGATGTGATTATCTCAAAGACAATCCAATTAGATAGTTCAAGTTGGTTTGACTGATTTAAGCCTAAGTGGTTCAATCAAACTCGAAACTCAAACATAATCAAATGGTTTTGCTATTTGTGTAAAAATAACATACATGTAATGTGATTTGAACATTCACCACTTGTGTAGATAACAGCTACTATTACCATCAAGCCATGACCAACTTATTTGTCAAGTGGGAGTTAGGTATTTGTTTTAAGTACATAAATATAAGGTTAATGGGTTTAGGCGAGTTAGATTGGGTGACGGCAGGTTTGAATTGAACCCAACCCATAACTCGGTCATTAATGGATCCATTGACGGATAACCAAACCCAACCCAAACTGCCGAATTGCCACCGCTATCCCTCCCCGACCCATTTATAATCCTAATTGCCGAAGATGAATCCAAACAACAGACTAACCGATCCCATCATTTGGTTAACGCTTTGAGATAAATAACTTCCCTAAAACGAACAAGGCCTAAGTGCCTAACTCTTTAACATTACAAGAGAAGCTCTACATACAAAGATTCCTTTGTCCTCACTCTCCGTTATTGCTAACGTTTCGTTCTATACATTTCCCCTGGGTTGACTCCCATGAACTGCGTGACGATTGCATCTAAGCCATCCACAATATGATTCAAGGTTGCATGCCAAAGCACAAACATCTATGGGAACATTTGAAAGGCTTTGGTACTACTACTACAACTGCCTAGATGGTCCTTTTAAGCTTTAACATAGCTTTTTCCATGAATCGAGTAAATGACCCAATCGGACCAGTCATGAGCACCATTATCTTAGGCTACTCCCCAGCATCAAAAGCCATCTAAAAGACAAATGCACGCACGCACAGGGAAAAATTTCAGGCCAATCCAAGCCATAACCAAATACACAAGAGGGGGATCACGGACAACCACTTCTGATTAGTTTCAGAGACAGAGTGGCGAAACTTGGACWTCCAAACGCCACCTAAATTCAACAAGAAAATATCCCAATTTATAAAAAGGAATGCATAGAAAAGGAGATAGGCATCCTCAAATATCCCATTTTAGAAGAAATATATTATATATATTGCAGAGTCGATATCCATAACCAAACCCATCTACATCTGAGAGGCATCATGTAACGAAGAAACCCAAGTTCCCCAGAAGCCAACGTTTTTAGGTATGAGCTTCCAATCAGCCTTCCCAGGTGCCAAATTATTTAATGATTAAGCCATATGTCTCTCATGTCAGAAACAGAGATTGCACATAATCAGTCACTATATGATTGATGCAGTGAAGAGCATTTACGCTGGTGGCAGGATCTTAGTTCTTTGATAGCCGAGCAGCCACAAAAACCATTCAACTAGAGAAACAAACAAATGTTCAGTGTGCGCGGTCTCTGAGCACATCAAGATCCATCTCTGTAGGGTCGGTAGCTTGAATCTCATAGTGGATACCATCAAGCTCGCGTCGGAACCTGTCCTTGGAGGTGGCATACAGCATCTTGGCACGGATACGAGAGATGGATGGGGCCCTGTACAGGTGAACATGCCACACGTTAAGTCAAAATGAATAAAAGCAGAAGGATTAAAGCAAAGGTTTTCTTTGCCCAAATGATGTTAACAAATAAATGCCTCAAGAAGTGATGCCACTATCATTTCTTGAGAAGAAATGATCGTTCCTAGTAGGGGTAGCTCTTTCATTAGAACCTCAGAAAAAATAAGTTACATCTTTCAACAGTATTATTTTTTAGCCCTTCAATTCCAATGGACCAATATGGTCTTAAAATCCTGGTGACCCTGCTCCATTCTTTCCACAGCCTAAGTGAAAATTTTTGGTCTAAACAAAACGTTCATGATTTAACGTTCCTGAAGCCTTTGAAACAAGACACTGAATGGAGAATAAGAAGAATAACGCAACGGAAAAGAAGTAAGTCTTCTTGTAATCTCACATTCTAGAATCTATTGATTTTATAAATTGGATATCAATATCCGAGGCAACAGGAACCTCAACAATCAAGTAAAATGCACGCCTTTGTTATAAAGTAATCATGGTTGTGAATAATAGCCCGATCAAGGTAATAAGCGCCCCAGGAACATGCCCAGGAACCTGCAGCGGTCAACATGTTCCATGGGAGTTAGACTTCTAGATGTCTAACCATTGGAACAGGAGTACAGGAGGCTCCTGTTAAACCTAATATTAAAAGTTAAAACTAGATCTAGAATCTTATTGGAATAAGACAATAAGCAAGCAAATAGAGTGCAACAGAAACAGGATATAAAAAAGACGAAGCAAGCAAATAGAGTGCAATAGAAACAGGATATAAAAAAAAATATATACAGAAAGCAGTGACAAAATAACTTAGTGGAGATTCAGTTAAGCTCTCTTTATTCAAAAGTGAATAACTAGAATCAATTTTCCAGGTTAGGAGTTCCGCCTGGCCCTGGATGCTATTCCAAAAACCATTCTTTCCATATTTCAAGATTCAAAAGCAAAAGGCATAAATGATTTGGATCCCTCTTCCATAATCCAAGCTAACAGTGGCCTCAAATGCTAGCAGACTGTCACTCAATTAAAATGGAAATGTAACATCTGAAAGTTACACTTGACAAACAAAGAGTGCCGCCTAGAGTTGAGTCAGGTTCTTCTAGAGATAACAATAACTCAGAATTTAAGAAACCCATTAAGATATCCATAAGAGGTAGGGATACAGTTTGGAGAGTGAAATTGCAGTTAGATTCAGCAATCTTGAAGTGCTTTCTTGTTTGTGTCCGTTTTCTCTTGGTTTATCTTTTTGGTTTTTACTTGCGTAAACTAGTCTTCCCTTCTCATGAGGCCATGACCAAGGCCTCCTCTGTGGTCTCCTCCAAATCTAATCTGAACTGAGAAAGCGAAAGAACAAAAACATTTGCATGACAATCATCACCACAAGTAAGATCCATTTTTAATATTTGCATTACCTTGATCAGATCCACTGATCTTGAGCAAGGTGAATCAGGCAGTAGAACCGCTTGTATCTTTCTAGACAACCAAGGCATGTAATGATACTGCTGCCAAATTATGGTACTTTTAAGCTATTAACTGTCAGGATGATGTCTGTCCAAAGGAATTTTGTCCTCATGCTATGGTATTAACTAGTCTTAACAAAGAAGAAATATATTATAAAGATTGTGCTTGATTAAAATAATAGATGCCACTCCAGAACTCTAATATATGTTTGTGCAATAAAAGGTTAGATATTACAATAGTGAATAAAAGGCTAATTGTTGTCAACAAAATATCATTAAGTCAATGCTGACTTTTGTGAGTAGCAACATGGAAAAATAAAAAATACAGCACATATGAGCAGATATATATGCTTGCAAATGCATACTTGCGTTATTCATGGTCAAATAGAAGCATTTGAAATGAAACATGGTAGGATTATCATACAAGTTGCCATACTTGAACTTGAAATAATTGAGATATAAAGGCTTCCTATATATAATAGTGTTCAAAAGGACAACTAAAGTATAGATTGCTGTATAATTCTCTGATCTCATTGTCAGAAAGGAAAAGAGCATTTAGATGAGATCCAATAACTTCAAACAGCCAATTAACTATTGACAATACAAAGCAAACACTGAAAATGGGAAACTTAAGGAAAAAAGCAAACCATGCAATGAAGAAGATCTTGCTCTTTTGGCAATTCTCTGAAGTCACAAAATCAAAGTCATAGACTGCATATCGGCAATCATTCTCAGGCAAAGCTGCTGCAAAATCATCATAGCTCTCAGCTGGACCTCCAGTCTTCTCAACAACAACCTCCTTTTTCTTTTCATCAATCTTAAAGATCACATAACGGTATATCTTCTTCCTCTTCAATTCCAAAAAAGTGCTTTTACTATGATCTGCCACCCCCATGCCAGAAGAAGCATTTACCTGCAACTCGAAAACTTCATGTCTAAGCACTTAGACAAAATAAGTGAAAATAATGTCAAAAAATTGTGAATGATTCTTAAAGGGCTTTATTTGGGGGTGGGGATGGGGGAGAGAAGGGTCAAAAGAAAGATGATCAGAAAATGCATAATTCATGAAACATCATGAATTGTTAAAATCACAGTGTTACCAAAAAAAATCTAGTTCAAGAAAAGGAATTAAACTCTCTAGCTTCAGAAATTCGCAGCATGCAATCTGAGGAACTTGTCCAATAATTCCCTAATTAGGAGGGAAGGAAAAGAAAAACTAAAAAAATAAAATAAAAAAGACGAAAATAGAAATGGCAATTAAATTCCAAAAGAATTAGCCCTTAAAATATTACAAGATTAGGTCCTACATATTTGAGTGTCACTGATTATTTAAGGGAAAAAAATAAGCTTATAACATGGAGTCAATAAAAATATCAATCGAAGCTCAACTACAATAATGAAGAAAGCACAAACCGATTTAGATTTTCATAAAATTTGCCCTTGCTTAGAAACTCCATAAAGGAGGAATGTCAAAGTAAAAAATCAGTAGTTTTTAAATCAAAATAGAAACATGAAATGAAAAGAGAAACTAACTCTCTTAATTTCTTTTTAACAGAAAGACCTCCCTATTTTTCAAGGAAAAAAAAAAGCTTTAAAAAAGTGAAACATCAAATCGTTTCTCCTAGACTCAAACAATTTAAGATCTGATCAAGATCCATCGATCATGAACGCCAAAAGCAACATCAATACAAATATCCGTAGAAATATTAGCAATAATTATATTTCCATCACTAATATACAGTAAATCACTAAAACGGAACAAATCCAACAACGAAAAAATCTCACGAAAATTCATGAAGCAGTTCCATTAGTGATCAAAACCAATCAATCCATGAAGCTAAGATCAGTAATTAAATCAAATGGGCTAAAACCTTACCCCTCCTCTGAACGACATGGCCGATAACCCTCAGATAACGAAGATGGAACAACACTAAAACCGAAAAAAAAAATCGAATAAAAGATTAAAAAAAAAACAGCAGAGATAAGGTGGCTGTTTTGTTCCGGAGAAGGAATACAGGGACGAGAGCAAAGAGAGAATGGAAACCAACTGGACGAATAAAAGCTTTAATATACTACTGATCTAATCAGAAAAGAAAAATAAAAGAGAATGATCCAAAAGCAGCCAAAGAAGAAAAACTTCTAAAGCTATTCGCTCCTTTGCTTCTTCACTTTTGCTTTCCTCTCGAGAAAATAAACTTATTTTGAAAATTCAAAACCCGTGCAAATCCATCTTATACTGTAAACATGGAATACTGTGTGGGACCCAACTCTACTGATAGCTGGGCGACTCTTCAATTGAATCGATATTCCAGATGTATGGTAGAGATCGCTTTTGTAAGGCATAAAAAAATAAATTTACATGCTGAGCGCGTTGCTCAACTTCTGTTTTTTATTTTCAAAGATTCGCGCTGAGAAAAGGAAAAAAGAAAAAGGGACGAGGCGCGTCGTTTCGCTCTAATCATTTTTTTTAGCCCTTAAAGCTATGTTTGGTTTGAAGGAAAACGTAGGAAAAAAAAAATAGAAAAACCTTCACAAATCTTATATAGATTTTCCTATCTTTTCTTTCCTTTTCTTTTTTTTTTTTTCAAACCAAACATAACCTAAAAGACCGGAAACCACTTCTTAATCTGAGCTGGTTAATTCGGAACCCTGGACCGAGTAAAATATGGACCCAAAATGAAAGCCTATGCTTAGCCAGGCCCATACCCAAGGTTGCTACTTTCCAGTTTTCACTTGCTTGATGCAAAACTGTTTGTTTTGATTACAAAGGTCAATAATGGAGTCGCACCTGAGGACAGCTTAGACTTGTCCTTATTATGCTGCTTTTATATTAGGGATGATCAGATTGTCTAGGGCTGTACAGCCAAAATTATACTTACTACTACCTCTCCTCTATATAAAACCATTGCTTTGATGATGAGGTTGTACAGCCAAAACCATTACCCCCCCCCCCCTCTCTTTTATCTCTCTACATAAGAAAAAGGTCATGACCCAACATCATTAACCAAGAGGGAACAGAGAGGCCTCTTGTGAAAATAAATGTTTAAGCCAGAATATTTACTGTTAGCGAGACAAGACCCAACTAGGAGTTGTCCTCACTTTGCCAACTCTATTCTCTTCTCTAGTGGCTATTTCTTGATTTTATTGCAGCTAATGCTAGATGACCTCTGAGAATGATTACCCACTCTCCACTGACCACAATAATTCAAATTTCAGGACAACTATCACGAAAAAGGCCAGAGTAGGCAGCTAATAAATATCAAACCCATTAGCAGCTTCAATTGTAAAAGGGTTCTTTAGTCTTTTCATTTGTAACACAGCTCTCTCTAATTAGAAAACTTAATCTCCAGTCCATTGAACATGGGCCAAAAAATGTGGCATTTTATGGGCTTCAATAGCCGTCTAAACTCCAAGCCAAAAGATCTAATGTCCTAATGTGATAAATCAAAATGCCTTATCTCTTATTCCTGTTTCAGGTCACATACTGCCGAAGGATCCATTACTTTCTACATTTAAATTATTGCGTTAATTCCTTTTCTTTAATATAAAAAAAAAAAGTCCTAATTATTGCACATGGAGAATGGTCTGTCAATTTCATATAATTCAAACATGGCGTCAAAAAAAAAAAAAAACATGAAGCTTGGGCCCCCGGAGCCCGGAATAGTTGAATTGAAGTCCATTGAGCCTAATGGGTCAAATTAATTCCAACAGCAACCCATGGGCCGGAAACTGTTGGTCTGGGCAGTGAGAACCACCCCTCTTTAATTGGCTCAACCAGGTGAGCGGTCCACAGAGATTTTTTGTCCCTTTATTTATTTATTTTTTCTCGACAACCGAGAACCTTGTGCAGTGTTGTATTGTGTTGTAAATGCTAAATTGTGCGTCAGTGATGTTTATTCAGATTCGAAGGCGGTGCGTAGAACTAACGCATGTCCACTTTAGCAATTGCACACGTAAGACCATGGATTTAATGGGCTGGTGCTGGTGTTGACGGACTGACGGTAAGGTGGTGGTGGGCCTACAGCAACGTTATAAACAGACCGACCTACCTGATTTAATCTAATAATCGAGATTTGCTGCAATTTTCTTTTCTTTTATATATAAATCTGTGCACAGGTTAGAGCTAAATTTGATGTACGTGCACTTACATTCAATCTGTAACAGTAACACGTATATAGATATTAATGCAATGTAAGACCATATGTAAGTAGATAGAGACTCTGTGTTTTTTTGGTAAACCGATGGACTCATTTTTAATTACCAATTTGCCATGTCCGTGTATGTTTTATTGGATAAATTATTAATGCAAAATCTGTATGGTGCATGCGTGCAAAAAACGTGAACCAGTTATAATAATATTATGATTGAAATTTTTAATGTTATTAAAATCTTTATTTAATGTGTTATAAATATTAGTTGGATTCAATTATTTAATTTTATAATACCCATATTACCCTTCTTTTATATACAAGGCAAAGGCATCCCAAGAAATGGACATTGTATGAATGCCTATGTTGGTCGATCAATTAGTAACTTTTTTCATTTTTGATTTTCTCCTTCCAAATGAAAGAATAATTCTATATATACTTTTTTGAGTTAAGATACGTTGGCGGCATCCTATCCTAATCCACAAGACACTGCGGCCGTAGGTTGGGAACATCTCCTACAGAAGATTGTCTTGACGTGTGACTGTAGGTAGGCCTGTAGGGTCCCGTAGCCAGCTTCTTGTTATGCTTCATTCATTCAAGCAGTTGATTGTCATCGTGGATCAATGTATAGCAATAGTGTGTTCATGTAGCCACCTACCACCAACTCTTCTATCATTATTGGTAATTGTCGTTATCTAGCTTTTATTCCAAGAATTTAGTCATCCTTATCTCTTAGCTAAGCCTATTTTTGAAGTTTTGAATTTTGATCCTACTTTTCCGACTCAGTTCGTCTGAATTTTTTTCATTTATTTTTTCGATATCAGGGCTTATTTATGTTAAACTATTCAGTTAACATATATACTTCCTGTTTTATCTATTATTTGACATGGCTTAAGGCTTCTATAATCCATTTTCACTTGTCACTATGTCGCGTTTTTAAAACGGGCTTGTGTTTTACTTATTATTAGTGAGTATCTGTGTGATGTATAGGTTTTGTTAAGTGAAAGTTAAACAATAAAAATAAATAAGAGTATATAATTATTTTATATTTTAAATTTTTAATAATTAATTTGATTATATTCAATTTGAGTTAGTCGGTTTTCTAGTCTTTCTAATTGGTTTTGCTTTAGCAATTTTCAAATCCAATCAAATTAAGTTAGTTTCGGTTTGGCCATTTGTAAACTAACCAAAATTGAACCGATTTGACCATATATTTTAAATTTAATTTTTTAATATGGGAAAGTGGAAAATTCTCATATTTATTAGTCTAAAATATTTTATATCATAAATTTAATTTATTTTTTAATAATACCATTATAATTTTTAAAACTTAAATTTAATTTTTAAGTTTAAATATTTTGAACAAACAAACCAAATGGAAAATAGACCCAAACCGATACAACCCAAGTTAGAAGGTTTTCACTAATGATCAATCAGTTTCGGGTGACAAACTCCTGACCTGACCAAGTCGATTTAATTGGCGTAAAAACTTGCAATTGAATTGAACCAATCCTTGAATACTCCTAATTTTAGCTAAATTAATAGTCTAATCTCTAATAAGTAACAATAGTTTAATTTCCAATAGTTATTGAAAATATAGAGCAAAAGTATACAATTATTGAAAATAAATTTATAATAAAAATATGATAAATATCTAATAAAAATACAATAAATACTGAAAATATATTAAATTAGTCAATAAATAGTGTAATCTCAAATAATAGATTAGTCTCTAATAAATATTAATCAGTAAATTATAAAAATATATAATTACTAAAAATAAATTTATAAAAAACACAATAAATATGATAAATTAAATTTCAAAAGTCAAATAATAGTTGTTTAATATCTAATAATTATTGACAATCTTTTGTTAAATAACAAAACAAAGATTTATAAATAATTATTGAAAACATATTTATCAAAAACTACAATAAATAATTACTGAAAATATGCATTATTATTATAAAATTATTATTAATAAATATTAATTTTTTTGTAAGTTATTTTCTATAATTATTAATTGATATAAGTGAAATTATTTATTTACAATATTATTTAGTTATTTAAATGATATTGTTATTTAAATTTTTAAAATACTAATTACTTATTGAATTTAATATTCTGTAAAATTATAATTAGTACTATTATTATATAATTAGTTATTAATTTTGTAAAATATGAAATTATTATAAATATGAATATTATGAAATCTATTATATAATTATTTTTCTACTTTTAAGATTTAGTCATGTTAAATATTTTGTTATTTATTTAAATAATATATAAAATATTTAAAATTTTTCATTATTTGAATTTTATTTATTTTAATGTTATTACATGATATTAAATATTTTTTATATTATTATTTAGATATTTTTAATGTTTTGTTATTTAAGATTTTTAGCTATTGACATATTTAAATAATGTTTTATTTTTTAATGTTAAAATTTTATTATTTGAATAGCATATAAATTTAATAATTCATAAAATTATAATTTATATTGTTACTACCTAATTTCATGATGAATTTTATAAAAAATATAGAATTATTAATAATATGAATTTTATTAAATCTATTATAATTATTTTTTGTGTTTCGAATAAATATTTTGAAGTTAGTATATAATTTTGTTATAATATTTAAATAACTCTGAAATGTTTTAATTGAAACTTTCTTTAGATAGATGTAGATAAAAAGTGGGAGAGAGGATAAATAGGAATTAGAGATAGTTTAGGAGAGAATCTCTCTACTWWATTAGAGATAATTTAAGAGATAAATAGGAGTTAGAGATAATTTAGGAGATAAATAGGAATTAGAGAGAATTTAGGAGAAAGTGGGGGAAAGTGGTGCCACTTGGCTAAACATTAGAAAATCAAATCCCTCTTTCTTTATAGTTGTTAGAAATAGTTAAGCCTTTATTATTTCCTTATTGGTTTAATAAGTAATTAAGTGGATTTAAAAAAATAGGAAATTAGGAAGGGGGTTTAGAGCAGGGAGAGGCATGGTGACGTGGACTATTTTGCTATATATATAT